GTGGTGGATATGCCAATTGTCCAGATTAGATTTTATATGTTGTATATATGTACATATTAAAATATCATGCTATGCTCCATAAATGTGTACAATTGTTATGTGTTAATTCACAATGAGTATTAAAAAGTATAAATGTTTACTAGTTCTCTTGATCTAATCATACAGTTTCTCTCTCTCTCTCTCTCTCTCTATATATATATATATATATGCATTGAAATAGTACACTATATTCCATAAAGATGTATAATTATTACATTTTTAAAAATAATATTCTTGAAAGGGTGAAAAATAGCACTCCAGATTTATTAAGGGGCTCTGTCTGACTACCAACTATAGGTTGCCACAAGACACAGAGCCCCAAGATTAACCAAAGGCTAGAATTAGAGCTCCCAGCAAGAGAAATGACCAACAGAGTGACAAGACAACTCAGACTAGGAAATAAATCTTGCCAGCTATTCTCAGACACAGGATTAATATTGAGAACGTATAAGGAACTAAAAATCGAATCCTTCAAATTTAAAGACCCAATCCAAAAATGGGCATCTGAGATGCATACACACTTCTCAGATAAAGTACAAACAGCAAATAAATATATGAAAAAAATGTTCAACATCACTGGTCATTTGAGAGGTGCAAATTAAAACAGTGCTGAGAAACAATGGCTATTATCAAGAAATCAACCAATAACAAACACAGGGGTTGTGGGGGAAAGGAACCCTTCTCTGTTGTTGTGAGAGTGTAGACTGGTGCAACCACTGTGGAAATCTGTGTGGAGATTCCTCAAAAAACTAGGACCAGAAGTTTCAATTCCCCCATTTATTCCCTTCCTTGGTATCTTCCCAAAAGAATAAAAGTGTCATACCACAGAGATACATGCACACCCATGTTTATAACAGCACAACTTATACTAGCTAAATCTTGGGAACAGTCCAAATACCCATCAATTGGTGAATGGATAAAGAAAATGCAGGTTTTTAAAAAATACAATAGAGTACTACTGTGCCATAAACAAGGATATGCTTGAGACATTTCTAGGTCAATGGATGTACCTTAAGACCATACTCTTAAGTGAAATAAATTGGACTCACATGTGTAAATATCATAGTTTCCCCAATGTGAGAAACTGAAATGTAAATAAAGACCAAAATGTATAATAGGTATTGTGAAATAGGAAGCAAATGTTCAAATGGGGAGGAGAACAAAGGGGGAATAGGAGAGAAGGGAAAAGTTTAAAAAACAAGAAAAGGAGGGGAAAATGAACACAAAGCTTTTGTAAATGGGGAGGAGGGGAGGGGTTGAGGGAGGATGGGGGAATGAGGAGAAAAGAATCAAGTTGCAGATGTACAAATTCTCTGTGATGAATGTGAGCATGATGTAGATCTAGAATGTACCAATAAAGTCTGGTTTTTAAAATAAGAATTAGAGATCCCTACTTCCATTTGTCCTAAACAAAGAAAATTATCTTGGGGTTTAAGCCGAGTCCTGGGATTAATGGTTTTTCATGATTTGCCGGGGTATTTTGACTTTTAGCTTAGATGGCCCTGTGGCTCTGACTCTTTGAATGGATAAAACCAGCTAATACAACTAGAATTTATTGAGCACCCACTGTGTGCCCCGCTCTGTCCAGAGGGTTTTGAGTGTACTAACTCCTTTAAACCTCATCTCACGAGACATCTCGTTTTCTTGAGAAGGTACTTCCTGGGTAATCTATGCTGGCCTTGACCTGGTGGTGGCAGAACTCCAGCCTCGGCCTCCAGAGAGCCACCATTCTGATCAGATATGAACTTTTACTATATTTATCTTATAAATGTTACAGATGATAAAATTGACCCTGATAGCCTGAGCAATGTATTCAAAGTAACACAGCTAGGCAAATTTAGAGAGTTCATCTCTGGAAGCCATACTCTGAATAACTAACCAAGGTTGATGTCCAAATGAGTTCAGCCTTGGATCTTATCCATGGGAAAGGAGCAGAATCCTATCAGGCTGGCTCCGAATCTGAGCCCTAGATACGGGCTTAAATATGCAAGCCAGACAGCCGCTAGACCAAGGGTATAATTTCTAGGCAAAGGTAAGGCAATTGCTGCTTCTGACAATCCTCATGTGTGGCTTTTGCCCTAGATTTCTGGATGGGTATGCAATTTCTGTCTTGTCTCTGGTGACACAGGAGGAGACTGAGGACAGAAACAAGAGCTTTGGGCAGGTGCTAATTCGGAATTCTGAGAGGTTATCACTGTAGGCAATTCATTTAGTCATCCTGCAAATATTGATTGAGCTCCTACCACCTGGCCCATGTCCATCCTTCTTGTGCTGTGTGACTCCAAGCAGACACCGATGACCAGCTCCACAAACTTCAGACCTTTGTGGGCTCAGGCACTTACACAGCAGCTCCTCCTCCTTCCTTGCCTGTCATCCAGAAGCTCAGACCAGAGGGGCCCCACTGTACATGGGGCTGTCTTTGTTTCATAATGCTTGGAAGCACCAGTGAGCTCTGTATTACTGCCCTTTAGGCAGGGTGGCTGCAGTGCCTGGAAGCTACTGGTTCTGGCTCTGCAGAGCCACGGGACAGACCCGAAGCACCAGCCATAAGCTTTGTGCCTCAGGCCCCTGGAGAAAACCTTTGATTTCATGGGGATGATTATTTTTATTCTTGCCCACTCAAGGATGAAGACCAAGGAACAAGAGCTTGCCCCTTTCAGAGGAATCACAATGGCTTACCTCCAGCCAAACCCACGGGGTTTTGTTTTTTGTTATTTCTGGATTTGGTTGGGCCTCTCTTGGAAACCATTACTATACAACTTACTTAAAGAAAGAGTGAAGGGATCGGGTATAAGAGACTCAGACAGAAGGGGGAGAAGTTAGGGGGGTCTGGGACAAGGAGGCTGGCAGTTGTATGTTGTCAGAGAAAGTGCAGGAAGAGCATATTAGAGTCACAATGTGGTTTGAATCAATCCCATTTTGTTGTGACATTTTAAATCTTTTACGAAGTCAGCCTATCCCTGGTTTGACTTTTGGCCAAGCCTAGAGATTTGGGACTTTGGATGAAGGTTTCAGAAAAAGACACAACACGCACACACACATACACAGAGAAAGAGAGAAAGGGGAGGGAGACGTTTATCCTAAAGTCATTGTAAACCCAAAGCAGGGTTTTATCCTCCACAGTTAAATGAGAAAGAAAAAAAAATCAAGAATACCAACATCTGAGGTACAAAGACTGTCATGGACCAGTGGAAGTTTGCAAAATTATATGTAAATGACCAAAGTTTTTACTGTGGTGGCCCTGGGCATTCCCAAAGCTAATCCCAAAGAGAAAATCTACTTAGCAAAAGAAAGTTTTGTCTAATTTGGTTAACAGTTGAGAAGTGACAAAAATGCTGAATATATTAATAATTTATATTTCCAGGGTAACACTGTATCTTTAATGCTTCACTGCCGAAGGGAATTCAGATTGGCTTAATGCTCAGAGGAAAACAAAACGAAACAAAACCCTGAAAGGCCTTCTTCATATTCTGTATCCAGCGCTGATGAAAATGGGTGTAAGACATGTGTTGTTCCAATTACGGGCACCATCCATTCTCCCATTTCCGCATAATGTGTTTTATCCCATATATCTCCCTTGTGCATGTGTTATCCAGGAAGGCTGCCGGCCCGCACACTCACTTTCACGCTGCAACTCTATCAGTCCCGAAGGGAGGAGATGGCTCGTATTTCCAGACCCCCTGACAGGCAAGCCCTTTTCTAGAATTTATAGAATTTATCCCCCTAAACTACACGTTATATTTCATTTTATGGAAAATGTAGGGAAGGGCTTTGTGTTTTGCATCTGAGTGATGATGTTTGATGGTTTACAAATTACAGCTCATCTCAGTTCCATGACCTCAGTGAACAGACCAGATCAGGGCTCTCTTAAACCCTGTCCAAAGAAAAGGAGTAAATTAATTTCCTGAGAGAAGGAAAAGTCCCTCACCCTACTTCAGCTAAATGGCCTCTGGAAACTGGAAAACAGTACTAAATAATTTCAAATATTTAAAGGACATTGAAGATAACATGAACAAAAAATTAAAATCCCCACAAATTTAAGTGATTGGATACCTTGTGTATTTTACTTATTTGCATAAAACCATGTGGAACTCACTTTGCAGTTCAGTGGTGTTAGAGTAAGATTTTAGCTTCCGTGCTAAATGTGACACTATTTTGTGGCTAAGGGATGAATCCACTGAAACTGAAAATCACAACTACCTAAAAGATCATCATGTTCTGGATGGAGTAGGAAGATTTAAACAAGAAGAAAAAATCCCACTGGGGAGAAGGGAGAAACTTTCTCTGCAGACTTCACAAACAGAGAGAATCCAGAGCTCAGTGGGATTCACTCAGCTGAGCGCATCCCCCAGCTTAGCCTGAGCGGCCTCTCAGCTTGGCCTGGCGCACCGCAGCCCTGCAGATCTGCGCACAAAGGGCACAGCCAGCCTCCCATCTGCAGAGAGTCAGAAAACTCTGTCATAACGCACACAATTATTTGATCCACGTAGTTATTTTTATAGGCTTGTGAAGGCCTGGGAAGTCCGCTATTCAGGTGACACGCCTAGGCTGTCCCGAGTGGCAGGTCGTCGGGCCTGGGCGCGCAGGAGACAGCTTTCAGGTGGGAAGGGCGTCCGTGGCCCAGGCTGTGAAAGTCCACAAAAGCTGTTTGGGGCGGGTCCTTCTCTCTGAGTATTTGAGAGCCAAGTGCTCTGCTCCTCCTCTCCTCCTAAGCAAAGCGGAGGGCGGCCGCTGCAGTCCGTGACGCCCGCAAGCGGCGCATCCCACCTCCAAGGGCGCCTCCCAAATGTGTGAAAGTCTCCATTTAGCCTCCTCCTCTCCAGAGTCCCCGACACCCCTGCCCCTTCCCTGCCAAATGACTGAGCACCGTCACCTTGCCGCCCGTCAGCCTCACACCTTGGCATCTGGAAGGGGATGGGGTGTGGGTGAGCAGGAGGTAACAAAGAAACCCGTCTCTCTGGGACTTTCAGGAAAGATTTATTCCTAAAGGGAGATCCTTCAGAAGACTATTTTGCTTTTGGTCCTCTCCCTCCCACCCATGGTTTTTGTTGACAGAATATTTACACATGGACAATATATACAGCAACTCTCCCAACCAGCGCCCAAAGCGCAGAGTAATCTAGCGGGCAGGTGGGCGTCAGAGCACCGGGGGGTGCTGGGGCGCGTGCAGGTTGAGGGCGTTGGGGTGGGCATGGCCGATCAGGTTGAGGTAGTGTCGGTCGAGGCCCTGCACCTGCGCCAGGAAAGGGCCGTGCTGCTGCGCGGGGCTCGGAAGTGGCACGGGCGCGCTGGGCAGATAGGGTAGCGCTGGGCTGCGGGCTGTGCCGTGCGGCCAGGGAAAGGGCCCCGGGGCAGCGCCCTGCGGGAACACAGCGGCCTCGCTGGGGCTGTGGCCGGCGAACTCTGGGCCAGCCGGGTGCAGCTGGTAGGAAAAATCCGGTTCCGGGAGAGAAGCCAGCGGCGAGAAGGCGGGCTCTGCGCCCAGGCGGGCCTTGGACTGCAGGAACGCAAGAATGCGCGCGTACTTGGTGTCCTTGGTCTCCATCCTCTCCACCGTGGTGAGGTAATGCACCAGGTTCTTCATGCACTCGTGGTAGCCATAGTGAAAGTAATTGGCAAACTCTGCCAGAAGTTCTGCTGGAGAAACAAGGAAGATTGCAAGAAGAAAAAACCCCAAAGCGGTCGCATTCTCCAGGGGAGCCCGAGGTGGGCGCCAGGTAACTCCCACCACATTTGGTGGCCAGAGTTACCTTCTGAGGCGCTCGCTGTCCTCTCCAAAGTCTAGTGATTGGAAAAGCTCCAGCAAAGAGCTTTCCCAAGAGAACGGGACCATACCCACTCCACCAGCGGGGAGGCCTCAGAACCGGTTCTCCCTAGCGTCTCGGGGCGGGAGAGAAGCTTCGGGCACCCTACCTTCCCAGCAGTGGCAGCTTCGTCCAGGGGGTCTCAGGGACGCCCCCTCTCTCCTCTCCCAGTCCCCAGGTCTAGGGGAGACGCCTGATCCCCGCCCAAGCTTCCCTTCCCTAACTCAGCCCACCTTTTTCTCTTCCCCGGGGAAAATCAGCGGAGTGCAGCGCTCTCAGGTACTGAACGGTCATCTCCAGGATCTCCGCCTTCTCCAGCTTCCCGGAACTCTGCAAAAGGAGAAAGAATCCTTGCAGCAGCCCTGCGGAGGCTGGCCAACACTAGCGGCCGGGAGGGCAAACCTTACCTGGAAAGGACGGTAGGGGCGACGCCGACCGCTCGCTGCGCTCTCAGGCCCTCCGAGCGAGCGAGGCCGCCCCGAAGACCCGCTGCCTCGGCGGGCTCGGGTTTCCGCCAACAGTGGCTACCAAGGTTCCCCATGGTCCGCGCGGGGCTAGGGCTGTGTCGTTACCTGTTTGGCCAGGGCCGTGGGAACCGTCTTGCCCAACTCATTCAAGCAGCGGTTGATCCGGTCCCTCCTCCGCTTTTCTATCACTTTATGAGAAACCGGGGTTCTCTGCGGAAAAAGCGTTTTATGTTCAGATGGCTTTGCCCAGAGTTATCCAAGGCACAAGGCACGGCTATGGTTCACCCCAAAAAGGATCTCTGTACCGCGGCACTGAGGCCAGCTGAGCGCTGTCCCTACTTGCCCGGGATGGCGCGCTCCCCTTCCAGCCACCCTACTCTCTAGGGTCACTCAGCCACACTAAGCGCCAGGGTTTGGGGGAGGCCATCAGCTTCCCACTGTGAGCTTCTCCAGGGTGAAGGACTCTCTTTGCTCTACCGCCATCCTCCTCCCCCTAGCACTTAGGAACTTCCACACTCAAAGTGCTGTGTGGCAGACTCTCTGCCAGCACTCCGGCCAGGTGGCGGGCCAGGGAGTCACACGCCTCTGGCGCCAGGGCGCAAGGACTCACTTTGCGTTCCTTGAGCTTGTCTGACATCCTAGTCAGTGCGCGCCCTCGGGAGAGGCGCTGGCGCAAGGCACACGTCCACTTCCGCCTCTGCAAGGGTCTCAGGTAGACTGCGACCTCCCAGATCTGAGGGGCTGCCTTATAAAGCGGTCATCTAGGACCCCAAGTGCTTTCACGAGTTGAATTATTCCATAGGATTAGGCAACCCACGTTTGAAGGATGTGTGCATTCAAGATTGGTTTTAAAGAAGTTAAAAAAAAAAAAAAAAACCCAGAGGGGGGGGTGGTGCTGGGGGCAGATCAGTTTTGTTAATCCACGTGGCCCTTCAAAGGACACGTGATCGGCCGGGAATAACATTAGCCTGGCAGCAGCCCGGGCGGGAAGAGGAGGCGGTGAGCTGGGGCCGGTGGGCTGGCGAGCGCCTGCAGCAGTCGCGGGCTCGGAGCGCAGGGGCGCAGTGGCCGCGGGCACCGGGGGGCGAGGACCCTCACAAAACAGTGTCGCCTCCTTTAGTCGCACCGCTGAGTCTCACACGATCGCCTGTTTACAAATCCCAGCAAGCCCGCCGTCCCAGCGCCGAGTGCGTTTTAAAGCCTGTCCAGAGTCATTAAAGTAATTAAGTAAGCCTTTAATAGGCTGTTCCGCCGGGTTCAAGGGAGAGCTCTTGGAGACGGAGGCGCCCCGTTTGTTCCCAGGCTTTTCTCACACGACTTGGTGACACGTCCATCTCCCCCCTTTTTGTTTACACCGCTTTATTTGTCCGGACATCCCGGCAGGTGTGGGGCTGCGGCTGGCACGCGAGGCTCCCGCCTCGCCTCGCCCCTCCCGCGGGTCTTTGGCACGCGACGTCCCCCTCCCCCAAGTCGCTTGCTTTCTTTTCTTCCCCCCTCCTCTGGCTCTCCCTTTGCGGGGGGAAGAGGTTCAATTTGTAGCCTATTATCCTATACGAAAATGTCCATTGAAAAGTATGAATAGTTTCATTGGGCAAAATTTTAATAATGCCGGGGGGGGGGTAGAGAGGGAGCCAGGCGGGCGTGTGTGTGTATGTGAGTGTGAGTGTGAGGGGGTGGTGGGAGGATTGGGGGGCAACACGGAGAAGAGTGGACCGAGAAGAAAAGGGGGAATGCAGCTGGCCAAGCGAGCATTATGCGACGTCACCTGCGTGCGGGGGCGCCTACAGACCCCTATTCATTTGCCTAATTTTGGTCAATTTAACAAACTTCAGGAGAAATTATTGTGGCTTTGTCAGGGAGGGTGAAGCCTTCTGATCGAATTAACAGCATGTTTTGATCCGGTAAATGTCATTAGAAAGGGAGAAACAATCGCGCTTAGAGGGCTCTGAGTAATGCGCCCAAGTGGAGACGCCAAAGCGCACGGCTCACAAAGGAAGCAAGTAGCTGCCACAGGGAACTTTTGTACCCGCCCATCGCCCAAGTTTTGACACAAAAAGGCATTATTTCATACTTGAATACGTTTAATCCAACGATTGTCTATTTTCTGCAAACATATTTTCACAGCATTGTTAACTTTTTATGTCCCCTTTTCTCGGGCGCCTTTTCTTAAGGTTTGGGGGCGGGAGAGCGCAGACACTTTGGGCATCAATATTTGTCACTGAAAAGGGCCCCGTGAAGTTAGGAGACTTGATCTCTTTTTTATGGTTTAGAAAGCGAAAATATCGGGGGAGGAGGAGGGAGAGAAGGCACGAAAAGAAATGAGGGGGGAATTTGCCCGGACGGGCTCCGAGGGAAGGAGGGGTGGCGGCGCCTGGGAACGCTCCTGGCCGGCTGCGCCTCGGTGGGCAGCCGGGCCGGGGCCCTCTAAGAGGCCTCCTCCCCGCGAACCACCTCGCCCCCAGTTGCTGCCTCGGAAACCTCACTCTGGGGGCTCCGAGCTCGCGGCCTGTGGGGGGTGGGTGAGCTTTCTTGCAGACAGAAACAACAAAATCAACTTTTGTTTTATGATCTTTTCAGTCACCAAGTTCTCACCTTTTCCTAATCGGTTCCATCTGGAACCTCAAAGATGTCTCTTGAGACAGCCTCCCCTTCTTTTCTACCCTCCACCCCCACTTCAGTTCTCCTTTCTCTGCAGGACAATGGCAGCGCCCGGCCCTCGCTCTGGGTGGCGTTGGTCCTTGCGCAGAACTGTGCAGGGTGCAGCACGCTCCGCAGCTCCAGGGCGCAGAGCCAGGCCTGGGGTGCGCGGCTTTGGGGAGGGAGCACCCCACCTGCTGCGGTCTGCTAAGGGTAGGGACGGGTCTGCACCTCGCACCCGAGGGTGTCCTCCTCCGTCTTGCTTTTAGTTTCTTTTCTGCTTCACGCCAGATTGGATACGAGCCGCACTCTCCTGCAGGTTGCTCCGCCAGCCGCGGGTGCCTTCTCAGGGGTTGTCCATTTCAGTGTATTCACTCGCACACAAAGGGATTAACCACAAACCCTTATCATCCAAATTAACTAACGTGAATGGGTAAAAAGAAGCGCGCACACTTCTCACCCGCACGCCCCTTTTTAAGCCACTGGACTGGGAGTTGATCCTCTTACTGCCGGTGTTAACCACCAGCTGCAGCACCTTCCACAGGCCAAATTTCATTCTGCGCGTACTGTTTAATTTCCCCGGCTTGATCGGGAAGCGGGGCCTAAGGGTTGCCCAGGGCTAAAAGTCCCGACGAGCAGTTGTTGTGGGGCTGGGTAGGGGACCGTGCAGCACGGCCGCGCTGGTGCGCATGCTCCCCGCTGAGGCACCAACCTTTGGGGTGCTTCTACCTCCTCAGGTTTCAGTTTCTCCCTTGCCAGAAGGTCCAAATCACACTGCCCAAGAGTGGGGTGCTTCACGTAGCCCTCTCTTCATTCGTCCTCGGGAAGAGCAAGTGCTCCTAGACCTTGTCCTAGATTTCACCTAAAATGAGAGCATCGGTGAGGCCACAGAGTGGGTTCAAATCCAAGTCCACCTCTACCGACTGAGACAGACTTTAGACAAGTAAATGAGTCTCAATTGTGCCTCAGTTTCCTGCTCTGTAAAATGGAGATAACAATTGCATCTACCATGTCGCAAGTTGGTCTCTAGGGCGAATAAGCAAACACAGGCAAAGAATCTAGAAGAAGGCTTCCCCACTCGGGGACTGGTTTTATTTTGCCAGCGAATCTCTTTCTTGTGCTTTAGGTGTGCGTTGTGGCATTTTCACTCATATTTTCATACTTTTTCCTTATCAGAGGGAGCCGGAAAATGAGAGAGAACTTCACCCTCCTGAGGTTCATTACGTTGATCCGGGTTAAGCTAATGAGTGGGGGCCTTTGAGGGTCCCTCTCACAGATGCAGCACCTAGTGCTCACTGGGCAGCTGCGTCCATCCAGTGTGTGTGTGTGTGTGTGTGTGTGTGTGTGTACGTGTGTGAGGCTAAAGATAGCTCTAGCTGCAGGAGCTCCTCAAAGTCATAGCTGCTGTCTAATACTCAAGTATTAACAGCAAAATTAAAAGAAAGCTGGGAAGGGGAGACGTTGGCCAAAGGTTACACCACATTTTCAGTTAGACGAGAACGGTTGTGGTATAGCATAGTGACTATAGTTATGATACGTATTCTTTAAAATAAACAATAGTAGACTGCAGGGAAATAGATCTTCTGCAAATGTGAGGAAGATCAAGAGAGGGTGGGAGGCAGGAGGGGAAGAGGAAATAAAAGGACTTAAAATGTGTACAGTTCCAACTCCCGCCATGAAGGTGATTATATACTGCAAACTTGTACAAATGCATTTTTTTTCAATTCTGGGAAAGTGGATGCTAACTGCTCATATCATACTGATGATAACCAGGGGAAGTAATGGATTCATCAATTAACTAAATACAAGCATCTCACAGCAAATATGCAATCAATCCTCCTTATCTCAGGGCTCTGCTGCTGCAGACTAATCAATTGTAGGTTGAGAACACTGGAGAAAAACTGCATCTGTACTGAAAATACCAACTTTTTGGGTTGTTATTCTTTAAACAATCATGTTTTAACAACTGTTTGTATGGTATTTACAGTGTATTAGGTATTATGGGTAACCCAGTGCTGATTTAAAGCTGTAGTCCTCAGCCTTTTGGGGGGCACCAGGGACTGGTTTTGTAGATGACATCTTTTCATGGGGGGCAGGGGATTGGTTTCAAGGCGAGTCACAGGAGCTTGCAGCCAAGATCCCTGAGCTGCACACAGTTCACAGTGGGCCGTCTACTTCTGTGAGAATCTAAGGCCGCTGCTGCTGCCCTGGCAGAAGGTGGAGCTCGGGGCGGCTGCAAAGGCAGAGGTGGCTGAGCTCACTCAGCTGCCACTCACCTCCTTCTGGGGGGCCCAGTTCCCAGCAGGCCACAGGCTGGTGTCAGTCAGTGGCCCAGGGATTGGGGACCCCTGATTAAGTACACAGGAAGATATGCATGAATAGTTTGCCAACACTGTTGCATTTTGCATATGCTGGCTTGGCACCTGTAGATTTTATTATCCAGGGAGCTTTATGGAACCAATTCTCCACTATGTTAAGGGACAACTGTATACTTCAGAACAACCTGCTTGCTATGATTTCGATTTGGTCTGTCCTCCAGGGTCCATGTGACCAGAGTCTTTGTCCCCACAGTGAAACTATTGGGAGGGATAGCCCTGAGAGATACGGGTCCAAGTGGAAGGTGCTGAAGTTGTAGAGGGATTGCCCTCAGGGAGGATTCAGGTGGCTCTTTTGTCTCGCTGGACAGTTGCTATAGAAGCCTGACTCTGGCCTCCCCCAGACCTGTGCTTCCTGAATATGTGTCATCTTGCTTCTGTGCACATTCCCACATTGCTAACCTGCCAGGATGTGAGGGAGCTGAAGGGCCCTGGCTGGGCAGAGGCAGGCCCTGTGCCTCTGAACCTGTAAAACTATGGGCCTAAATAAACTCCTTTACAAAAGTTATTAA